AAAATAAAATATATATATATATTACCAGATATTTTTATCGCCAAAAATTCAGTACAAATATTTTCACATTTTGTACAATTATCACTGAATTACATCATCATTTTGGTCCACATAGACAGCTTCACATATTGCTTTCAGTTTTTCACCAAAAGATTTGCTTATTCAAAATTTCATGTGGGCAGAAGACTGTACAAAAGCAGTTAGTAAATAAATCATAGAAAAATACATTTAAATTGTGCAAACTATTACCTAAATTTTTGCAGTGAAACCTATGGTGTTCAAGGGGTTAAGAGGAAGGAACTCTCAAAAGTTAACACTAAAAAAAAATCACCCCTCAACATTATGAAATCCTCGGAGAATGGGAAGCATATAATGCAAAAATGCAATACCCCAGGTTGAAAAAGAATCCACGTAATTAAGCAAAACTAACATTCTGATTTCTGCCTATGCTGCAACACAACAAGACAAGTTGTTGAAAGTCAGACTAGAATGCAAATACAAAGAAGGTGTGAAACGATCAGAAAGACTGATTATCCCCACTGGGTATGCAATAAGATTGATTTGCAGAATTAAGGCCGCCAAGTTGAGCAGATAAAATCAACAGGATCAAATCCAGTATCAGGATTTGGGCTTTGAACTCCCTGGGGTACGTGAATTGTGACATTACATACTGTAGCTACACATCAGCCAAACCATGAAATAGGACAAGTTGTCCAGCCTTAGCAACGAATGGAATAGTACGGTAACATCACTACTACATACAGGGAGATTAGGGGGTTAAACTCACATTTTTAAACAGACATAACATTGATATTTCTACCACACTGGTGACAAACGAAGGTCACGTAATTTACAAGCTTCATCAAGCAATAGAGTTCAATTTTGAAGTACAATGTACTTCTTGCGACCTTAGCACATTTCAATGTCATTAAATTTTTCTTTGATTCATTGATTTTTAAACAAAGAAAATAAATATTTTTGCGTACTGTTAAAAAAATTTAAGTGAATTTATATAATTCCTGAAACCAAGAAAAACATTTCCATGACACTAAACTACTAGTAACTAGAATTTTGTTTTAACTATTTTAATAGGCATGTGACATAACCACCTGAATGGGTTTTTTTCAGTTCTGAATCTGATAAAAAGTTTGGTTGTTCTTTAAAGAAACATTGTTCACTGTATTAAAATGCTGGATTGTCCAAGTAGTTTGAAAACAAAACAGAAAGTCTGAACTACAAAGCTATACGGTTGAAGTAATAAACATGTAGATGTAACATTAGCCAAGAGTTTTTATTCAAGTCTACCAAGTTTAATTCAGCAACTCTACATTGAGTTTGATGAATGTGTTGCTGTACACAAAATAGTGGGGAAACAGAAGCCCGCAAATGAGATAAAAAAATAATAACTATCTTAAGTATTTTAGGATAAAAAACATCACTGTGGAAACATTCTATATTTAGTTTTTCAAGCCAAACTGTTGAATGATTGAAAGAATTTCAATTACTGAAAAACATTTTTAACACTTAGAATGACAATTTTTCTAGCCAGTACTTTGCACATTTTTATGTATTTTTTTTATAATTTCTTTGTTAATTCAAAAACTTATTTTTCTTTACAGGTTCATATAGTGAATGGCGACGAATACTGAAAGCCAATTTATGCTTAATTTTCTAAAAAAAATTCTGGGATTGGTGAAAGTCAAGAGACGAAACTGATACATCAAAATTGTTATAGCAGAGGATACATCCGCTGGAGACACATAATGGAAAAACAGAAACTAAAAAAAAATATTATAAACAAAAATCATATTCTGACTAGTGGAATAAACTGAATACTAGCAGACGGTGTTGATGCAATCAAAGTGTAATTTACAACAAATCTGAATGAATCATTACTAATAATTATGTACACATATTAATTAAAAACACAAGAATCATACTGAAACTTTATTATGTGCTTATTAATTTAGTATGGGGACGAAAAATAACAGAAAAACTTGGTGATTTATTTCACATAAAACTGTATCCAAATTCTATTCCATTCAAAAAATGTTATATATAAATTTAAAATGGATAGGAAATTTAATTAATTAGTTTTATTATTAATTGAACTAGAATTTCAGTCTCACTGCACACTCCTAAACATAGCCCAGATTCTAATAATAAATTAGAGTTAATATATGGCTTACCAATTAACAAGATGAAAAGACCTATCTATTTCTCTTTTGATAGCGTTTTATTTTAGGGTAGCAAGCATTTAAACGGCTTCAACTTCTCTCACTATAGTTAGTATTATAAAAAGGATGTGTGTCCGATAAATAAATGGATTTATTGATTCGTCGACAACAGCTTGTGTAATATTGATGATCTCTGTTAAACCTTTACTGACTATAATCTTGAAAACTAACTCAGATTTGCCGACTAACTTTATTTTTTAATGATTTATTTTTTATTCTAAGTATGTTCAAGATCAAAACGCTAATAACGTAAACAAATTTTTAAAAATGTGAAACTGGTAAAATAACTATTTAATTCAATACTAACTATGTAGACAAATGTTCATGAACATAAAAATCGGCACACATGAAAAAAAAATCACTTTGGTGAAAAATGTAGGCGAAGATAAGTCAGGGAGTTTGTTCACAATGCAGCAACAGCCATGTTATCTGCCAACATTCTTAATTCACCTCTGTCATGTTTGTCACTGCGCGGTTCAAATCAGCATTTCCATGACAACTTGCGCTTTCATTTAACTGTAAGACATGATTTTCAATTCTCATTGGGCTCTAAATCAGAAGTGACATTAGTGAGAACGATAATAAAAAAAACAAGCCTACTGGAACTCGCTGTAAATTTGTCATTGCTATCGGACATGTAACTTCTCTGTTGCTTCAAGGTAGAAAAAAAATCATCCACAAGTGACTAACATTTCCCCAAACAAGTATAGAACTACTTTGAAAACAAACAAAAATGTACATCTTTTAAGGGAAAAAAAAATTTAAAGAAGAAAAAATTTTAAAGGAAAAAAAGACTTACATTAAATGATGGCATATTGTAAGCACCCTGGTAAATGGCAGATTGGTACATTATGGTATGTGTCCTCCCACCTCCTAGGAGGTAAATCACAATGGGTAAAACAAGAGGAGAATCTTCATCAACAATAAATAACCCCAGTCAGTGGAAACTGGCAGCAAACTACTGGCTGTCACACACTGGAAGGGGCTAAGACGAGTGACAATAACTCCAGTCCACTCGGGAAAATTCCAGGACTCAAGTCAGGATTGGTGACTGTGATGGCAGACCACTGCAGTGTCTGAGTGAGTTCCGACACGATACGCTAAGCTATGCCGTTCTTAAAGACTGAGTGATCCAGTGACACTAAGCACAGTGCTGCTCACTGATTGGCAAAGCTAGTCTAGTAATTGTCATGCAATGTACAGACACACATTTATGGTTCACACACTTTAATGGTATACACTGGATTGGCTGTGATTAATAAATACGCCTTGGGGCTAACAGTCATATGGATGTGACACTGTACACATCAACAGTCTGGATTCCTCAGTGTTTGCTGTCATTTGGTAGTAAGCTTGTGACTTGAAACCCCTACCACTATCTGCCGTGGATATCTAATTCACAAATGGATTTATAGCCTCCAGGCATGTCACAAGGGCTCTCTCACTGTCTAGCAACAAAAATATTGCTATGCGACTAAAAGACCCCTGATACGTGCTTGGTAGTTAATGAAAAGTGTGGGAATCATCAGTGTTGATATCTACAGTACAGTCCATGTGTGACCATTAAGCTGGGAGCGTCTCTCAAGCAGCTTTTTTTTCTCCAGATGAAACCCAACTGTAGGTTGTCAGGAGACAGACAGAGTCCCCTATTCCCAAAACAACACACAAATTTAGTCTAAGTGTCTGATTAAGGTCTCACATGAATGCATGCATATAGAAATTCGATCAGCACCAAGGGGGCTTAGAGTCCATTAGCGGATATAATGAGTTGTGTGCCTACATGTGGCGGTAGCCTTTTATCTACGTCAATATAGAAGCGACATGTGTGTATGACATGCGCCAGATGTATTCAAAATGTCACGCCAAGTCCCAATAGGCAGCCATACTTCACTCCTTGAGCACTTTCCTTTTCTCAAGATCAGACCTGGAGCAACTACAAAGGTACCGAGCTATACTGCTGCCTACTGTGTCTGAATTCCGAGTCAAGGCAGTGATTTGAAAGGTACATATGTATAAAGGATAGCTATGCTAATTTAATGACAATGACATCATGAATATATAAACGACATTTCCATGTCCTCTAAAAACGATTCACTAGCATGACAATTGGAAAAAAATAAATTAAAGCGCACTGTGGTAAGTCATCAGTATCCAGGAAATCTGAAAATGTGTGTGTTGAGCGATCAAAATAAACCATGCATGTTATTAGAAAAGCAAAATTGCCTGCATAACTGATGGTAGAGATCGCGGTTATCAAATGTCACATAAACTACCCGCACTAAAACTTGGTCGATTCGTCACGTTCCCACTGATCGTAACGCGTAAACACCAGTCGATGTTTTCGTGTGCGATCACTTTCTTCATTTTAATCACCGCCTTACTTGTGTCCTAATCTCATATGGTACACCCACATTTTCGCCTCACACGTTGACAAGAGCGACGAATTCCAGGCACCGGACACGTACGTTTCCGCGAACTTATTACAATGGCCATACAGAGCGAGACACCGGGAGAGACTGTATGTAAAGCGTGGTATTTTGTCGATAAACAGAATGATTGAACACGGTGGGTATATCACACAAGCCTTAAACAAACTCTCAAATATACAGTTTCCCAAGCGATTGTGAAACAAAATTGTCATGTGGCTATAATCTATATAGGTTAACGGCCATGCCCAATGAGTTTAATGCCTGTGAGTTATCGCAATCTGTACAAAAACTCGTAATTACTAACACTGGCGGGAAAAATAAAAGGACCACTTACCGCCGCCATGTTTGAAACACAACCGTAAGACGTCAACGAATTTACGTCAAACTGCGTTGCCAAGATGGAAGGCGATATTATATGAAATTGTTTTTGACACTTTCGATTAAAAACTTCAACTGTAATTTTGCAGTGACAATGTCGTAGTTTCCCTTTAATGAAATTAGTAATACGAATGAGCAAACTAATTACGACGACCTTTTGGCGTATGCTAGGAAGTCCTGTTTTACGGTATTGCGCGTGTATTCAAAAGCACAACGACTGTAAACAAACGCATTTTTTCTCGTATTTAGTCTTGCATTTGCGTAATCGGTTGTATTATTTTGGCTGTACTGTACATTGACGGCATCGTCCACATGTGGATATATTTTATGCGTGTATATACTACGTATGTAACTAACAATACCGCGTTGTAAACGCTGTGGACGCATTCTCAAGTCTTTGACTCCCAGCACTGAGCAGTGATCAAGTTGTAACGTGCTCATCGCTTTCCAGTTAGACAAAGTCAGCGTCATTATTCACTGCGTGCATCCAGAAATCTCTATTAATTATGGCATCACCAGAACGCTCAAAAGGTAAGATGCTACGTGCAAACTCATGTAACATGCTGATGTTTCTCATCAAGCAAACTACGGGACGTTACAGGTGACTGTAACCTATGACCCCAGCTCTGCGGCGGTTGTCATTTTCTCAGCTAATCTCGCTACAGATTACCTGTATAGTAAACAGGGACTCCAAATGGCGATATAAAAGTGGCAGTTAACGATGATACTTGTCATCATAGCCACTCGCACAAGATAAATTATTACTAAGTGATGTTGTGACTCCATTTTTCATTTCAAGATTCAACTGTATGCCATTGATGATGCCACATTCCAAATTTAATTGACTCCTGGTTAACGACAAATATTATGCGTTTTGCTTGAAGCTGACCCTTTCCAAATGTGAATTTAAAGTGCTTTAAAGTTACGGAATATCATATTTGCCAAGCGAAGTGAATCTCCAATATAGAAGCACACATTTGTTGTATACCGGAGCATTAAAATATGACTAATATTGAAAAAAACACACACTTGTACATCATTCACATAAGCTCATTTAATGTGCTGCTACTAGAGCATACTATAATAACTAGCAAAAACACAGAAAACTAAGTTCCACAAATTCTTGATATGCTGCAAGCAAAATGATTAAAATAACCAATAAATCAGAGGTTCTAAAAACTTTTTTCAATAAAAAATAACCACTTCATGATTTGTTTCCTTTGAGTTAAGCCATACTCATTCATTTGAAATTGGAAATTAGTGAAAAAAATTACAACTGAGATTTGGGTATCCTAAGAGTTTTTCACAACTTACAAATAGTCACACTCTGACTTAGAGCAAAATTTCATAAAAAAAAATTGCTGTGTCAAAAAGTGTGTTAGTCGCATCCATCCTTGAGGGCAAAAGATTAAAAACTAATAAGAAACTGAGTAGTTCAGATTCAAATGATGACGTAACACATACAATGTATTAGCTGCTTTGTCTTTGTAAAGGATTTCTATAATCTAATGCGATTTTGAACATTGATTCACATAGGAACTCCAGGCTTTATCTAGTGAGACTGAGTAGGATTTCTAGAGGAATCCCATCTACCATTGAACTTGTGTAAGAATCGTATAGGTATACCATTCATAGTCCGATAAGACTTGTGTAGGATTCCTATGGGGCATGATTATGATTTTTATAGGATTTAACTTTGAATGGGATTCCTTCTGGATCCTGATTCGAATTCCTGTAGAAATCCCTGTTCAATTCCAATTCCAGATCATTTTTGTAAGGTCACTATACTCAGCTAATTATTGCCTTAAATACAGATTAAAACTGTCAATCAACTTGATTAAAAGCATTAATTTTGAATTTTGTTTATTTTAGCTGGAAATTTTTTTTTGTACGAAAATTCTTTTTATTGATTTTGTGAAATGTAAAATATAAGGGATGAGGTATTTTCACTGGATTTACGTTTCACTGATTTATCCCTTCAGCAATATAGCGAAAAATAAATTTGAAGTGAAAACAAAATAATTTACAGTAAAACGCAAATGTCAAAACTGGTACCTTGATACATGATGCAGATTTTCAGAACTGATTCTTTTTACTCTGATATTTATGATTATTATTTATTAACATCGAACAATAGAACATACTGCGCCGTGAAAATATGCATCAGCATTTGGTTCAAAACGTATCATGCATACATTTTCAAAGACCTGAAGTCAATGCTAAATTATTTTCATTTAGTCACTAATTACAAAGGAATTATAAAAAAAAAAATACATAAAAAAAAAATGAAGGGAAAACATCTGAAATGAAAATTTTTCACCTGGTTATCACATTATCTGGTATGCAAATTTATGCATATTGTAAGTGAGGTTTCAAACTATGGTACAGTACTTTAAAGTGATTCATGTATAATATATTTCTTTGCTAGACGCTCATTTTCTCGATTGCTTGCGCTTTCGTTGAGCCTGAATTAATTACAGTACTTAACATTATTTCAAAATGTTGATAAATCATAATAAAATAATATAAAATTAGATTTTAACAAATTAAAATAAAATATTTAATTAATTTTAAATATAAATCAACTATAGAATTGCCCCCCCCCCCGTAAATGTATATAATATCAGTCATGCTTGTAAAATATTCGACATGAATGAGTGATTTTCGAATCGAATAAAAATATAAAATATGTCTAGTCAAGTGAAAGAGAAGTCTGTGACAATCAGGTCAAGAAAAATACACAGATATCATTGTGAGATACCAGTCATATACTGGTGAAATTTATCAGAGGTATGAAATGTACACGAGACTGATTGCTCTTTTGAGAATTACCTGGTTGATCCATGGCTCCATTGGGACAAATAGAAGAGGCAGTAGTGTGTACAGAAGATGTGTAAATTTGACGCATGTGTTGATGCACTGATTAACCCGACATCACCTCTATTTGTAAATGTTGACAGTACGTATCAATCTGGAGCTAGTTAGTGAAACTCACACTACAGTATTTCCATACTGATTATTGGAGGGAGATTTTTTATAAAGGTGTAGACAGTAATTTTTACTTTGACACAGAATTTTCCTGAAAGTTAATCCTTGTGATCGGTTGTTTGAAATTTTGAAAAAAAAAACTTAAAATATCTTTGCTAGTTTGTAAATTTATAAACCTCAGTTGGTCATAGAAATATTTCTTATTTTGACCATAGACTAACTTTAATAAATAATAAAGCACATGTGCTTCTAATAATGTAAATATAGTATTTTGATTTTCAATTCAAGATGGCCACCTGAGTAGGAATTAACTTTATGGGTGAACAAATTGCAAAGTCGATGTTTTCATGGAAACATGGTTGAGAATCCCCCTCTTTATTTGTGCTTTGTCATTTTTTTTAACATTTTTCTCAACAAATCAAGAATTTTTTGGAGGGCTTTTAAATTGGCTTCTCATTTTTACTAGTTAGCAGCTTATGGACAACTGGCAGCCATTTTGTTACTAGTTATGGACATCTGGCAGCCATTGTGTTTGATAACATGTTATCATGTTAACATGTTATGCCCATTTCATAAAATTGTCATAATATCATATGTTTCCCATATAATGGTTTACTCCGCCTCCTCTCACCTGTGTCAGTCTGTCCTACCTGATACTTACATACTCACTATGATACACCCACAATGCAATTTAAGAACTCAAGTTTTACACTTATACATATAAACAATGTTAAGATTGGGAATCCAGACAGACACTGTGTGCATGGAACTATGGTTTATAGTTCCATGCTGTGTGTAACTGAAATGTTTTTCTCTCTATTTGCATATTACATAATAACAAAACAACTTATTCTCACCAGTATTAGGACCAACCAAAATCATGTATATTTGGGTTAATAGTTTTCTAACTAGCATAAAAACAACTGTACTTTTTACATCATAAATTCACTAGGCCTTTCCTGGAAATGTCTTAATCCTGGAAGTCTGAGAGTAATGTTATCGCTGGCAGATTGAATAACAAATTGTATTCAAGATTTAGACTTGTCCTAATACTACCGTGAAATGCTTTATTTTCACTTGGAATTTATTTTCGCTGAATAGATGATTCAGTGAAAATAAAATGCAGTGAATATACACTTTTTCCGTATATTTTACATTCATCTCGTCAATAAATCAGTGAAAGTAAATTCCATACAAAACACCCAAAAAGTCTTTTCAGCGAAATTTAAATTAATTCCAGTTAAAAAATAATATTTTACAGTATGTCTTTTCTAATCATAATAATTGTAGGAGTTTAAATTATACAATATACATGTAACTCTGGTATGTGTGCTTATATTAGAGCTGCATTAAATATAATGGAAATCTTACCAAAAAGTGAAGATATTAAATATCAATTCTAAACATCAATATTAGGATTTGTCTCAATATATGTATTACTAAACACCATATGAATTTCCAGTCTATGTGACAAAGTGAAATTTCAAGATGTGAAAAAAAAACAAAGTAGTGCAAAAATAAAGATAAACAGCAAATTTTGTCATTTTCCTTGTTTCTTGAATTTTTATCAGGTGATTTTTTTTTCATTACAATATTAATTTTAATTAGTAGCACTTGATTCAGCTTGTAGAAAATACAATGTTTAGTTCATGTGTACTTCTAATAGAGCAAATACGGTATTTGTCTACGAATGATATGTATTCATGCGAAAAACAAGAAGTAAATTACGTAATCTCCAATTTGATTCAAACCAACTTAACACAAAAACAAAACTTGTTTAACAGTCAAGAAGCAAGTTTAGCGTTAATTTCTGTCTACTCTCCAGTGTCCTGTTAATAATGTCCTTAATAAGTGGACAGATTACTAACTATTTAATCAACCTGATAGAAATCTATTTAACCATGCTGATTAGAATTTAATGATCAATTAATTCTTCATCCATGAACTTGATGTGTCCTGTGAAATACCTTTAAAAGTCACTTGAAACGTTCAGCTGTTGCATATCATGTGCTTTTTGCCTGGGGTGAAATATTTTGTAAATTCACCTCAATTTAAAATACTAATCTTTGAGCTTGGAAAATTTTGATAAGATTTTTTGATCGGTTTTATTGCAGTATATTGCAATTAGGAAAGTGCTGAAGTATACGAATATGGTGAACCATGAAATATTTTGCAAAAATTTGAAATATGTTATATATCACCAGTTTTCTAAAGTTTAATTATTACTCACTATGAATGCTTATGTGTTATTTATTGTAATGCATGAAAATATACAGTTGTTGCGCAGTTAAATTTTCATGTAAACAAACAAGATGTATTACAGATGCTGTATCGGTGCTATGGGTCTCATATCGAACGCGACAAGGTTTGACGACTGTAGTGCTTTAAGTGTCATACATTTCATTGAATCTATGAGCGCCAATAGACACTTTTCACAAAATAATTTTACTTTCAATTTTTTTTCACATTTTTTCGAAAATTTCGATCAAGGCTTATAGCCACATAGAAATAATGCCCATTTGGTCCAAAATTTTCAACAAAGT